CACAAGCGGTTAGAGCGGTCTTTGTGTGAGTCAAGCTCAGGGCGATGAGTAGGCAGACCGGGGGAGGCAGGCGTTGGCGTGTGCTCACTTTGGCCACCGTGAGGGATCGAGTTATGACGCAGTCTGCAGCACTTGTGATTGGCCGTCCAGGGGCGGGTCGAGACTTGGAATCACGTGAGCTTATGCGTGGCATAACGCGGAAGGTGGAAAGTACTATAGGGTCACTACAGTTCTGCCAAGAAAATAATTTATTCTGCTTTCCAGGCCCGTGTGTGGTGGTCAGGTTTTTTACTTACGCACATGCGTCCAGCTGAAGAACCGCCGGCCTACTTAGGACGTCCCAAATTGGATGCAAAAAGACTGCACCAGCCAGAGTAGGGCTCTTTGACACTTTTATGAAGAAGTCAAGTTTGGCGAACGTACGTTTTCCAATTTTCATAATCAGGCATTTACAATAATAAAAGGTAGGGTGGACTGCCATGGCAGGAACTGGCTGGAGTCGATTACTGGATCTGGTGCAGTTGTGGACAAAGCAACTACGTCGAAGAAACCGGGAGATTACTCCGGACGCGAATGGCCGAGCACGCAGGAAGATCGAGTCGTCTTCTTCTCAGTTGCTTTCTGGGGCTCGCATGTTTGCTTATATTGGAAGGGAGACTTATTCACGATTGTTTACAGCATAAGTCGTAAATGCGTTATGTTTTATGCTTGTTTGCGTGTGGATGACATGAATGAGATTTTTAGGGTAGCCAATCAAATTTGAGAGAATAAGAAGAATTCTGATAGAGTGAGAGGACAATCCAACTTGATCTGAGCTGCAGCACTGTTTTTGAGGCCGACGGGATACCTTATTGTTCTTTGAAAAAAAGGACTCGAATGGGATGGATCCGTAATGCTACCTTCATTCCACTTCTCACTGCTGTGAGATTTGACTATGTGGTTGGCGTTAGATGGTGTCTCCATATTAGACTGGCATTATACCCATTCTCTGTCGGCTCGCCTCGTGCGGACCACTAGAGCAGGTGAAAGATAACAAGCGAAGTTAATTCAGTTTGGCATCAAAGTGTTTGCAAAGTTTTAAAAATACACCTGCTAAGATGGGCTTCTTCGCAATCATTTTCATAGCAGTGTGTCTATGTGTGCGTGTGCCTAAACTTACGAAACGGTCCAAAACTCAAGCAATCTGGATAAATTGGAACCAGCTTCCGATTCGTCAGTTGAGACACACAAGGTTGAAAGGTTAGTTGTCCTAATTAAGCAAACAATAGACGGAAAGTATATTGAGAGCAGAAATTCATAGCGTAAAAATAATATTGTCCAGGAAAATGGAAAGTTGCCAATAGAAGCGAACATGTGAGTTCCAGGAAGCAGTTGAGAAGGAAAAGATGCGATCACTGGAACAAGAATTCTGCTTTCCTGACGTTTTGGCTTCTGTCGAGAATCCCTGATCATAGGTAACCGTAGAATGGTGTGACATATGCGCAGATTGGGAGTGATACATGCACAGATTGCGTGGTATTTATAGTTCGTAGCGGCCATCCGCATGTGTACTATAATTATTAGCTCTTGTAACCCCCGCTTGTGGTCGTAAGTGGTGCGATGATGGCTTGGCAGTTCGCTTTCATGTCACCGATTGCCGCGATTTAGTTGTCCGTTTCGGGTGCGGGTTTGATAATTGCGCGACAATCATGTTCGCTGTCATCAGAGTTGTTGCTGGGCCTAGTCCTTCCCACATGACCGATTCTCCTGCTCAGGCAATATTCTCGTACGCAGTATGGGAACGGCAAATTTTGCGCTTTTTCACTGACTGTGGGCCTGAGAATCACGACTCCAGTAGCTCGCGGCTCACGCGGTTGTCACCTCTTGCGAGGATTTCGGCCTCATTAAACTTTAAAATATAGTCAAATCCCGTCGAGTTAGCGTCTTTCTTTCTCACCACCGCTGCGTGCTCGGCCATTTGCGTCCGGAGTAATCTCCCGGTTTCTCCGATGTAGTTGCCTTTTCTACAACTGCACCAGATCGGGTAAACGACTCCAGCCGTTTCCTATCGTGGTAGTGGGTCTTTCGGTCTCATGACCTGGCGCCTGATGGCTGCATCTGACCTTTGATGTTTGCAAGTCAGAACGTCTATGAATGCAGGCATATGATTGGATACAGTTGAATATGGGCAACACAGACCCGCACAATCAGTCTAAGTAGATTACAAATTTAATTTAGACCGTGCGCACTTATAATAACATATATCGGTCATTGATGTGGTTCCAGCTGTACAAAATTTTTGAAATAATATAACACATTTCGCTTTCCAATTGCCCATTCGTTTATAACGCACCAACGCGCTTCTTTTGTTCGCATTGTGGGAAGTTCGCAGAAAGACGAATTAGTGTAAAGCCATATGTGCAGAGAACTTAGCGACCGTCAAACCCTCCGATATTGCGAACATACTCAGATAGTAGTGTGAGTTTGTTGATCCGTGGATAGGAGCAGGATTTTGTGAAAGTAATTGAAATATTGGCATCCCAAGATATTAATTATAAGAATAAAGCTTTCTTTGGAAAAATGTAAAATTTTATTTCGTCAATTTTCGACGCGGCCCAACCGGTCGTCTTCAGACGTGGAAAACTGTGCAACAAACAACTAAAATTTTTAAACGTTCGGAAAATCAATATTCATCCGACGTGACGTCATTTGGTTGTCTGCTGTGTTTTGGTAGTGCGCATTCAAGTTGGCTTTGAGGCAACCGTAGCTAGCTTCCTGATCAATATACCTGTTGATGCATACCTCGTCTGAGTGCATTGCTTCCAGGAATTCACGGTCTTTTCTAGTTGGATAAGTGCCAACAATCCGTGTGTTCTTTCATGCGAATTTGTGGCCGGTTTTTAGTGTGTGCATGGCCACCTGGAATAAATGGTCTCGTCTTCTAACCGCTGATTGATGTTGGTGTATGCGGGTTGAGGCACATTTCCCAGTTTGGCCACAATAAATAAATTATTACCACCAGTGATGAGGGCAGCCATTGGATGGGAGGGGTCCTTAAATTGCCACTGAATATTTCGACATATATCGGCATCTGTCAACGGTTGGGACAGATGCAGCGCCTATTTTGGACAGTAAGTCTGTCAAACTAGCAAAAAGTCAGCATATTTATATTACCGATGGAGTGTTGACTTCTGATTGATGTTTTTAACAGTTGACAGTTCAGGCCAAGTGTTTTTATTTTAGTGCAAACCAACGCCGTACCCTGTCCCAACTGTACTTCAATTACAAAGGACTACCTCGAATGGGCTTTTAACCGAACAGGACACACTGCTCCATCGGCCTTATATTGTAAATACTTTAAAAGAAGAAGATGCGATC